TATCTATTGCTGAGAACTTCCTCCCATGAGTTTTAAACAATGAACTTCCGGCTGTTGATTGTCCCGAGGTTGTGTTCTCCCATAGGGAGCAGAAACCTATAACTTAAAGCTCTGGGGATCAGGGTAGCACCTTAGAGTTTAGGGCAAGACCTGGGCTTCGGGCCCAGCTCTAGGCTGCAGCCCCAAGACCTGCTTCAGTGGAATTTAGCATAACAATCATTACTTGGGAATGTTGTATGCTCATCGAGATCCAACAGGAACCGGATCCCAGACTTTGCTCTCAGAAACTGCACTTCACAGTGGGATACAACATAAAGCTAGTAGCTGGAGTAGGACAATAGTGCTATGTGCTACTGCAGGAGAATCTCATTTTGACCAGGGAAAACAAAAAATGCTTTATGCAGGAGATGATATTTTAGAGGGTCCCTAACTGCCAGGGACCCCATGAAGGTGCAGGTTAGGCACTGGAGGGTCCCATCAGTAGACTTTCCAGAAGCACTGGGAAGGAGGAGGGGAGTGGGAAAAGGGCCTGGAGGTTGAAACAGAATTCCCCTGAGAAGCTCAGAACTCTCAGGGAGGTCCTGGTGCTAAGAGATGATGCTCCATCCTCCTGCTCCATCCCCAACAAGGCTCATGTGGGCTAGAAGCAAGCCTCAAGCCTCCATGGCAGCCCCCAGGACTCCAAATCTTGAGGACACAGAGGAAAAAACAGTACAATAAGCCAGCCTCTGGATTCCTTTCATGGTTTTCTTCTCTCATCTTACCCATGATTTGTTTAGCAAAGATCTGAACACTTCTTTCTGTGCTACATGGTAGGGATTCAAATAACACAGTAGACATACACATAATAATAGTTACTGTTGGCTGAACACTTGTGTGTGCCAGGCATTGTGCTGGGCACTTTCATACATCTTCTCATTTAATGTTCACACCTGCCTGAGAGAAATAGGCATTATTATCTCCATTTTACAGATGAGAGCACTGAGACTAAACTGGTTAAACAACAACTACAAAAAACTACTTGGTATTTTAACTGAGGTGTGGCAGAGCCAAGATTCAAACTCAGATGTGTCTGACTCCAAGGCCTGAGCTGTTAAATGTCATGAGATTGCTTTACAAATAAGGTATAGTCTCTGTCTTCAGTGAGCTTACAATGCACAATTAAGAATAAATCCAGGCCAGCATATATTATTTTTATAATAAGAAGATTATTAGAAAGCACAAGCCAGGCAGAATAAGCTAAGTGCAATAACAAAGATATAAGGAATGTGCTGAAAGACTGGCAAAAAGAGTTTCTGATTTCAGGAAGATCTCAGGGGGGTGGAAATGTTATACGATTCATAGTAGAATTTTTCCTGTTTTACAAAATGATCAAAGCCTCAAATACGCATCTTCCCTTACCATTTATCTATATGTTTTTTACTGAATCTTCCTAGTGATCTTAAAATTGGGAGTCACTAACTTACTTCTGTAGAAAATGTCTGTCTAGAAAATGCCTCCTGGTGTTCCTGAGTGTTTTGGTAATCTGAATTAAGTCAAGCCCCTGATGGCCTAACCCTAGCAGGATGTAAAATTCAAAGAAAACAGTCTGGAAAAATATCGAAAGCAACTCAAATCTTCACGTCAGAAAGCCCCTGGGTGTGTGTGGTGGGGGTAGTGGGCAGATACTTAATGTAGAGTAAAACTTATTATTTTTTTAAGAGACAGGGTCTCAGTCTGTCAGCCAGGCCAGAGTGCAATGGTGCAATCATAGCTCATTGCAGCCTTGAAATCTGGGCTCGAATAATCCTCTGGCTTCAGCTTCCTGAGTAGCTGGGACTACAGGTGTGCACCACCCCACCCAGCTAATTTTTAATTTTTTGTAGAGACAGGGTTTTGCTATGTTGTCAGGTTGATCTCAAACTCCTGACCTCAAGCAATCTTCCTGCCTTGGCCTCCCAAAGTGCTGGGATTACAGGGGGCTACTGAGCCTAGTCTTAGCAAAACTTATAAAGTATCCTTTTCCTGTCATTTCAATATCTCTCTCCATACAGCAGCCATTCCTCAAAATCTCTACTAATATTTTCCCAGAAACTTGTACACTCTTACAGTTTTCCTCCTTTCTTCCCTGGGATCAAGTTAATTTCTCCCATCAGTCGCTTGCTTTCTTTTCGAGTTAATTTCACCGTCTTTCCTTTCTTTGGCAATTCCCTCCTGCTGTCCCCAGCACGCTCCTCTCTGCAGGTGCGTGCACACACACACACACACGTACGC